CCCTCTCCCTCCCCAGTGACCAGAACTCCCAGTGACAATGCCTTCTAAATCCTGATGTGTCAACTAGGAGTGTATTTGTGAGACAAAGGAGCACAGTGAGTGAAACTGAAATGATGCCAGAGATCCAGGATCTCCTTCCGGGTAAGGCACAATGTAAAGCACAGATTTGAAGGGCCAAAGGGTCAAGGAGTGCTTTCTTTTGACAGGCTGCCTATGAGGCCAGGGAGCACTTTTATGAGACCAGTAACCTTGCTTCTAGGTCAGTTTTGTCAAGAATGACAAAATTATTTATTTCAGTCTTTATCAAAAACACTTTTTGCTAAATGGGAGGCTGGCTGTGCTTCTTTGGTCTGACTAGCTCTGGTGTTAAGTAATCTCTAGGGTCTGTAGCAATAACCAAACAAACAAATGATTTCTTGTTTCCTTGTCCTTATAGAAAGGAAGTAAAGTGAAACTTTAAAGACTAAATGCCCCAAAAAACCCTGTGACAATAAAAAGAAATGTAGAACATCTGCAAGGACTTTGAAGGCCTCCTGATGGCAGGAAAAGCTCTAGGAATTAGAAAAGAAAACACTGTGCCCTACACCTTTAGGGTTCAGGCTACAGGGGAAGCCCTGCTTTCTGGAGGTTGGTCTGATAAGAAATGATCTTCCTTTCTGGTGGCTTCTTTGAGCAGTAGAACTCAAACTCAGATAAAGAACTCCTTGAAGTTTGATCTGAACCAGGTATTCTTGTTTTCATATGATTAATTGAAGAAAAAGATAAGAAAGTGGGAACAAGATTGAGAAGGAAAGATTGCATGGTCCCAGAGAAACCCTCATCACAAAGAGCTGAGCTACTCAGTGTGAATCTGGATTGGGCTAGAAATAAAAGCAGATTTTATCCATTTTATCCCAATTCTCCTTTGTTCTGTTGTTCCCAGCCCCTCACTCAACTCTCAAATATCAGTTTTTGATATTGAATGATATTTCAATATCAAAATGCTTAATAAGCATTTTGATTAAGCGTTGACTGTTAATATTTAAGTGATACTAGTTTTGATTATGTTTTAAAATAAGATCTTTACCATTTAGAGCTATATATTAAACTATTTACAGATGAAATTGCATAATGTGAGAGATTTGTTCTTGGAAGGCAGGGGAAGAGGAGGTTTAGATGAAATTAGACTAGTTATGAATTGACAATTGTTGAAGGTGGGTGGGTACATGGGTGTGGGGGGCTTTGTTGTCCTATTTATATACTTTAATTGGTGTTTTCAATTTTCTATAATAAAAAGTTATTTAAAATCTCAGTTTCTGGGAATGGTCGCAGTTAGATCTTTTTCTCCTGCTTTTCTAGTCTTGTCTTCAAAGGCCTTCCCATCACAAAGATGAGACCTCCTATTATCTAGCAATGGGGATGGGTTGCTTTGAGCTAGCCATACTTTGTGACTAAGGTCACAGATGTGAAGACTGTTGGGTAGACTTCCAGGTGTTTCAGTAACATCATGTTGTCTCTAGAGGTATGTGGACATATAGTGTTGGTAGGAATGTAAAATGGCATAACAACTTTGGAAAACATTTGGCAGTTTCTTAAAAAGAAAGATAAATTTACTATAGGATCCAGTGATTCTACTCCTAGATATGTACAAAGGAAATGAAAGCTTATGTCCATAAAAAGACTTATATACAAATGTCCCATACAGCCTTGTTTGCAATAGCCAAAAAACTGGAAGCAACCCAAATGTTGAATAAAAGAAAAATTAGTACACAAATTGTGCAATATCAATACAATAGAACACTACTCAGCATTAAAAAGAAATGAACGATTTATAGATGCAAAAACATGGATGAATCCCAAAGTCATTAGGCTGAGTAGAATAAGCCAGAAAGAAAAAGGATACATACTATATGATTCCATTTGTATAAAATCTAAAAAATTTAAATATTCTAAAGTGACAGAAAGCAGATTAGTGGTTGTCTGAGGACCAGGGGAAGGCAGAAGTGGGAGGGAGGAATTACAAAGGGGCACAAGATACCTGGGAATAACAAATATTTCATTATCTTGAGTATGGTGATGGTTTCACAGATGTGTTTTTGTGTGTGTTTGTGTGTGTGTGTGCGTGTGTGTGCGTGTGTGTATATTTGTCTAATATGTAGTTGTATACTTTAAATATGTGCAATTTTAGGGGGATAGTGACTGAAAGGGGACATAGGATGGTTTCTGGGTGCTGAAAATGTTCTATTTATTTGTTCTGGGTATTTGTTCTATTAATGTGATTACTTTGGGAAAATTCATCAACATATATCTGTGATTTCTGCATATGTCTTTATATGTGTTAATAATTAAATGTTAAATAATCAAAAATGAGGGCATCAGATTAATCTGGAACTATGAGTAATATAGTTGTATTAGTCAAAGTAAGATAACCAAAATAAAAAACAGTCTGAAAATCTCAGTGACAGCATCTTGCACATGTGACAATACAGTGAAGGTTGTTGTGAGGAGGGGCAGCTTGCTCAAGAAAACTCTTTCTAGCTAATGGCCCCACCAACCTCTTGGATTTCAGGATTGTCTACTGGATTCCCTGCCTCTAACCAACAAATGGGGAAGGAGAGAGAATAGGAAGGCTCACACATGATTTTTTTTTTTTTTGAGATGGAGTCTTGCTCTGTCACCAGGCTGGAGTGCAGTGGCGCCATTTTGGCTCACTGCAAACTCCGCCTTCTGGGCTCAAGGGATTCTCCTGCTTCAGCCTCCTGAGTAGCTGGGACTACAGGCACGCACTACCACGTCGAGCTAATTTTTGTATTTTTAGTAGAGGTGGGGATTCACCACTTTGGTCAAGATGGTCTCGATCTCTTGACTTCGTGATCCACCGCCTTGGCCTCCCAAAGTGCTGGGAATTACAGGTGTGAGCCACATGCCTGGCCATACATAATATTTTTTTAGGGCCAAGCATGTAAGAAGCATAATCACTTCCACCAATAATGTATTGGCTAGAGCAGAGTTACATGACCTATATAACTGCAAGAGAGCCTGGGAAATGTGTTCCAGCTATGTGCTCAGAAGGAAAAGAACATAGAATTTAATGAATGCATATCATTATGTCTGCCACAATCTACCCCTCTGATCATCATATCCATTTCACTTTTCCTCTCACATATGGAACACCCTCATCGTCTCCCCCAAATCCTACCCAGTCACTGCATCCAACTCAGAGTCCAAGATCTCTGACTGATGCACAGTTTTCTCCGTCAGATCTAAATGAGGTTCCTCTTGGTCTGGAGATGTGAGAGAATCTCCTTTATTCATTGCTCTCAGTGATTTCTGGCTCCACTCCTGAGAAGTTTTCCCTCATTCTTTATCCTTGTTGACCAACACTGAAGTGGATGCTGGAGAGTATGCTTTTCTTAGGGACGGCAGGTTTTATAAACTGCTTCTTGCCCAGTGTGGTTTTAAGGATTTCCAGCCACAGGCTTTTTTAGACCAGGCTCATGGTTACTTAGTAATACCATTTCTCCAAAACCCATAAGCCTTCTCATCTGTTTGCTTCCAATTAGTTTCATGTGTCAGAAACCCTCCAAAAATTCTTTCCTAGACATCGTTTTCAAGTTTGTCCTATTTCTTTGCTTCCTTGCCCCTCCATGCCCTTCTCTCTCAACTTAAAGGCAAGAAAGTTGAGGCTATGTGGAATAATAGTCATGGATAAGAAGTTGTCACCTTTAATCTGAACTTTGCCTGAAGGCTGAGTCACTTTATTCAGTTGAAAATAATTATTGGGCCTTTTTTGCTTAAGTCTCAATCTTATTTCCTCCTGTTTGGTGTCTAGAAGTCGTAGTTCTTTGATGCCCCAAATTTCAGTACCTTCTCATTTCTGCCTACAAATTGGCTAATTCTTTCCCTAGTATAACTTTTTTAAAAAAAATTTTAGTACAGATGGGGTCATATTATGTTGCCCAGGCTAGTCTCAAATTCCTGGCCTCAAGCACTCCTCCTGTCTGGTATTTCCAAAATCCTGGGATGACAGGCATAATCCACTATACCTAGCCAATTCTTTCTTTTAATACTTGTTAAAGGGAGCCAATACACAATGATATTTTGATTCTTTCTAAACACTTCTCTTAGAGCTGCAGGTTCAGTAGGCATGTGGTCTACCCTTCAGTTTTACCAAATTCTTTAATGTTAACATGATTGCCATATTTTCAGCCTTTTATATCAGTTTCCTTATCACCCACCCCCTAACTGCTAAGCCCCACATGTTTTAGACTTTTGTTAAAGCAACTTCAATAATGGAATGATTAAGTGCTTGGGTTCTGGAAGTGGTTAAAATATTGTTTCTTCTACTCAGTAGCTAAGTGACTTTAGACACGCTCTCTCGCTCTTAAGTTCCTCATCTATTCTTAAAAGAGGATTATTGTAAATATTAAGTAATATGAGGCCAGGCGCGGTGGCTCAAGCCTGTAATCCCAGCACTTTGGGAGGCCGAGGCGGGTGGATCACGAGGTCAAGAGATCGATACCATCCTGGTCAACATGGTGAAACCCCGTCTCTACTAAAAATACAAAAAATTAGATGGGCATAGTGGCGCATGCCTGTAATCCCAGCTACTCAGGAGGCTGAGGCAGGAGAATTGCCTGAACCCAGGAGGCGGAGGTTGCGGTGAGCCGAGATCGCGCCATTGCACTCCAGCCTGGGTAACATGAGTGAAACTCCGTCTCAAAAATATATATATATATATATATTAAGTAATATGTGTAAGTACTTAGCATAGTACCTAGTACTTAATTAGTCTTGTTATGTTTTATTACTGTTATCTCCCTTCAAAACCACAAGGAGAGCTCCTGCTGGGGTTTCTTTTCTGTCCTATGTACTGCTGCCTAGAACCTGTGAACCACAGGGCCTCCCTTCCCTCCCAGGAGAGGGATGCTTTGTTGAGAGATAAGGCTCTAGAGGGTAGAACTGAAGCAGCACATACCTTGGATGAAATGTTCATATAATTCTTTTTTTTTCATTTATAGATTTTCCTGCTTTTAGGCATCATATGTTTTATCCTAGCAGTTGGGCATGGCATTTGGGAAAACAAGAAAGGCTACCACTTCCAGATTTTTCTGCCATGGGAAAAATATGTCTCTTCATCAGCTGTCTCTGCCATCCTCATATTCTGGTCCTACTTCATTATTCTCAATACCATGGTACCCATTTCCCTCTATGTCAGGTAGGCTTCTTTGATCCTTGGGGTGTGGGGTTGGGGAACTGACTTCATACTGTCTACTTAATGCCTCAACCAAAGTGTAAACTTTTAAAAAGCATGTACTTGTGATCCTTAACCCCTCACTCTCCACAGCACCTGGTGTACAAAATGTTCTGAGGTATATCTAGAGATTGCATGGATGCCTTCCATGTCTAGAATACTGTGCTAGGAAGACACCATGTGGTTTATACAAAAAGAAAATTATCCCTGCCCTCAAATAACTTAAAATGTAAGTGACTAAATAAGACATACAAACACATGAAATAACTAGAAAACATACACACAAATTTGGTGATGTAAAGCATGGGTAGGTTCCCCAGGAACATAGGCCAGGCAGCCCATAGTTTACCAATGAGATAGGCCCAGACATTCACCTGTAAGTCAGTTCATCAGAATTCAGAATCCATTTTCCCACAGAAGCAGTGTGATAGATGGTAGACATGTGTAATTATGACCTAAGTTCAGTTCCTAAAAGTTGTAGAAGAGAAGAGGAAAGGTTTTTACTCTTCTTTTTCATAAGCACCTTGGTTGAAAATTTGAAATAGTTGAAAAAAGTATTTACCCTACTGTCATCATCCTTTTCTAGGTTTTGTATTTCCTTACACTTACACATACACATGCCCAAACACACTTTAGTTTCTTCCTTTCCAGTCTTTCTAAACCTTGTACCAGGGCTTTTTGGCAAGAAAACTGCGTAACTAGATTACCTTATTTAGTAATATTTACTGAATATGTACTATGTCCCAAGCACCCTTCTATGTTGTAGGGAGAGAAGGTAGGAATGTGGCTATGGAAACAGATACATAAATAAGGGACTATTGTATAATATGAAGAATGATGTAATAGAAATAATATAGGAGCCTTGCTAAGGAATGGATTTGTTTTACCTGGATAAGTTTAGGAATGTCTACAGAAAAGGTAATAACAAAACTGATATTTGAAAAAAGAGTAGGACTCAGCAAACAAAATATTAGGAAAGAATACTGCAAGCAGAAAGTTCAGCATGTACAAAGGTTTGGCGGTTTTTAAAAGTTTTGTCTGTTCACAGAACAATGAATAGCTAGACTAAGGTTTTGGATGGTCATTTAGGGTCACATCCAAAAAGACTTAAATTCCATGCCAAAGAGTTTGGATTTTATCCTAAAAGCAGTAAAAAGCCAGCAAAGATCTTTCTAAGGAAAAAAATTATGTGATTTGAAGTTTGGGTTTATGACTTATAAGTGAGAGCTAAACATGGAGTACACACGGACACAAAGAAGGGAACAGTAAACACTGGGGCCTGCTTAAGCGGGGAGGGTAGTAGGAGGGTGAGGGTTAAAAACTACCTCTAGGGCACTATGCTCGCTACCTGGGTGAACAACTCATTCGTACACCGAACTCCAGCAACACACAATATACCCATGTAAATACCTGCATATGTTGAAAAAAAAGGAGATTAAAAAAAAAAAAAAAGAGGTTTAGGTTTAGAGAGATTGCTATGGCGGCTGATATGGTAAAGGATGGGAGGAGTCCCAACTCCAGGCATAGAGATTATCAGTAATGAGTCAATGATGAGGACCTGAGCACCTCCTACCTCACTTCAAAGGAAAAAATCCATATCTCTCTGTGCAGCTGTCTCAGACAGGGATTACTAATAAAGCAGACTAACACACATTAAGTTTGAATGATGATAAGAAGGAGACCCCTTAAAAGTCTTTACTGTTTTAAAATGAGCATGCTTGTTAGCCATAAAGAATCTATAATGCATGCTATTTGGAGCAGTAGAGAAACATGACAAAGGCAATAGGGAAAACTCATAAAATGAGAAGAGGCTCTTGTGGGGAGGAGGCACACGCCTGGAAATTTATCAGAGGGTCAGCTCATAAACTCTTCCTGATTTCCATAGCTTCTTTCCTTCTTCTGAAACAAATTCTGAGTGTGTCAAGTTTCTCTGTCTTCCCATGTGACAGGAGCAATAATCCTCCAATTGGGCCGCAAAGCTTTTTTTAAGTTAACTGTTACTCTATCACACCTTGCATTACTGCAGAAATTCCAAAATTGTAACTTTTCCTAGATACATTTTGGGAAAAAAAAAAAAAAAAAAAGAAAGAAAGGTATGACTTTAAAACATTAATCAAGTGTATCTGGCTCCAGGTGGTAAAGCCTTAAGTGATCATGGCCAATGTCAGCATTACCATGGGTTGGCTGGTGGGAAGGGTCCTTCAGAAGGGTAGAATCCCAAGGAAGGAACTGATTTTCAGATGCTAGCCCTAATCTACCCTGCTAAGAAGGAAACCAGGATGATATATTTGCTTGTCCTGTTCTGATGCAGAACTGTTCTTTTCCTGCTTTCTCCTTAGTGTTGAAATAATAAGATTGGGCAACAGTTTCTATATCAACTGGGATCGGAAGATGTTTTATGCACCAAAGAATACACCAGCACAGGCTCGTACTACCACCCTTAATGAGGAGCTCGGCCAAGTCAAATATGTATTCTCTGACAAAACAGGGACCCTGACTCAGAACATTATGATTTTCAACAAATGTTCTATTAATGGGAAGCTCTATGGTATGCGTGTCTTCCTGCTTTCCCCAAGTCCTGGGGAATCTTTACTTTGCAGATTGTTTTAAGACTAATCTAGATCTAACTCTATAAGCCTCTGGAATTCACATTTACTTCCTAGTCTCACAACTGTCTCTATTCTCTAAGCAAAGACCTCCTAGCCCAAACAGTTCTAACCAAAAAGTATTTATTTAGTGTCTTATAGGTACAATCTATTATGTTGGGAATTGAGAATACCAAGATGTAACAGACCTAGTCTCTGTCCTCAAGGAGTTCCAAATGTCTGTATACTCAGTTCACTCATGTATTAAATCAAATGCATGTTGGTCAAAGGGTACAAAGTTTCAGTTAGGCAGGAGGAATAAGTCTTCAAGATCCATTGCACAGCATGTTGATCCTAGTTAATAATAATGTATTGCATATTTCAAAATTGCTAAAAGAGTTTTAAATGTTCTCACTACAAAAAAAGTATGTGAGGTGATGTTAGTTAGCTTGATATAATCATTCCACAGTGTATATATGTATGAAAACATCACATTGTATCCATAAATATATACAATGATTATTTATTAATTAATAATAAAATTAAAAATAAATCAAATGGAGTAGTATATTACTGAAGCTGCTAATTTCCCGATTCCCCCTTACAGCAATAAATACTATTGAGAGAAAACATTAAAGGGTAGTCAGAGTTTGATCACTGTCTCCAAGGCCCAATCCCTTATTTATCTTATGCCTTAAGCATAAGTTGTTTTTGTGATAGAGTTAAGTCCTCGTGTGTGTGAACATTCATACCCAGTGTCCTAGCTAGCAGAGGAAGGTAATTGCATCTAAAAAGCTAGAACACATGAGATAATCTTTCTGGGGTGATGAAAAAGTTTTGAAACTTGAGAGAGGTGGTAGCTGCACATTATAAATGCACTAAATGCCTCTAAATTGTACACATTAAAAGATAATTATATGTTAAGTAAATTATACCTCAATAAATAATTAAAATTTTTGAATTAAAAACATGCTAGGCCGGGTACATTGGCTCACGCCTATAATTTCAGTACCTTGGGAGGCCAAAGCAGGCAAATCACCTGAGGACAGGAGTTCAAGACGAGCCTGGCCAACATGGTGAAAAACCCCATCTCAACTAAAAATACAAAAAATTAGTCAGGCGTGGTGGTGCATGCCTGTAATCCCAGCTACTTGGGAGGCTGAGAATCACTTGAACCCGGGAGGCAGAGGTTGTAGTGAGCCAAGATTGCACCACTGCACTCGCCTGGGTGACAAGAGTGTCTAAAAAAAAAAAGCTGAAATACTCTAATATTTCCTATTATTTTCTGTATTTCCTATTACTTGTTTGGTAACCCTACCAAACAAATTTTCACTTACATACACTCTGAAGGCTTATTTTTGGATAAGTTGATTTGGATGAGCTTCTTAATTCTCTGGCTCATTTTAAGACCTGACCATACACTGGGTAAGATTGAAAAGGACCATGAGTGTTTCCATGCTTGGCATCAGATATATCTTCTACCTCGATTCTGTCATCCACTGGCCAAGAATCCCAAACACTCTAAAACTATGTCCACATCTCTTCTGGGTAACTCTTATGATTGGAGGGCTTCCTGAGGTGAGAAGTCTCTCACAGATCCAGTGACTGACTTCTAGCTTCATCTTATTCTCACCTAGGAGAGAAGAGTTGAGGCTCAAGCAATCCTCTTCTTACCACTGGCTTAGAGAAAGGAGCTTACTGGGCACTAGGAGCTAAGTGGCCTGAGGGGATTGGGGAAAGCTTGACTGCAAGTCTAAGATGAAGGAATCAGAAGAAACAAGTTTTTAAGGCCCTCCTTTAAATTACCATATGGCCTAGCAATTTGATTCCTAGGTATATACCCCCAAAACTTGAAAACAAGAACTTGGATACATGTATACCAACATTCATTGTGACATTATTTACAAAAGTCCAAAGGGAGAAATAACCCACATGTCCATCCACAGATGAATGGATAAAGAAAATGTGGTATAGCATATACATACAATGGAATGTTAATCATCCATAAAAAGTAATGAAATTTGATACATGCTACAAAGTGAAGAAACTTTGAAAGCATTATGCTAAATGAAGTAAGCCAAACACAAAAGACAAAAAAGTTATGATTCTACTTATGTCAACTATCTAGAATAGGCAAATTCATAGAGACAGAAAGTAGGTTAGAGGTTACTAGGGGCTGGTGATGGGGAGAAATGGGAAATTTCTGTTTGGGGTGCTGAAAAAATGTTGGAAATATGTAGTGGTGATTGTTGCACAACATTGTGAATATAACTAATGTCATTGCATTTTACATTTAAAATAGCTAAAATGGTAAGCTTTATGACATGTATTATATATATATAAATTGTTATTTATACCACAATTTAAAGAAATTCAAACACTCCTTTAAAACCCTTGCCAAGTCTCTGCTGTGTTCACTTACCAACAGGTGATACTTGTGACAAGGATGGACAGAGGGTGACAGTCTCTGAGGTGAGTGATTACAGCTCCAAGGGAAATGCATGTGGAGGCTGAGTGAGGCTGTGCTTCAGAGAAGCATCTTTAACACAAATTGAGACTCCCTTAGCCACTGAAATATTAAAGCTTTTACTGGCCCCGTATATCAGAAAGCATTATATAAATGACCATTGTTTTATTCTGAAGATCTTCATTTGTTCTTTTTAAATGAAAATAGCTTTATTGGTTTTTTTCTCTTTAAAAAATCCATGCTCATTGTAAAAAAAAAAATTCTTCACATAGAAATGTAAAATAATAATATGAATGCTATTTCTAGTTTCATTTTGTTCACTTGACACTATATTGTAATCATTTTTCCATGCCGGTAGGTCTAGTTCTACATCATCATTTTACTTTATTTATATTTATTTATTTTATTTAGAAGCAGAGTCTCTCTCTTGTCACCAGGGCTGGAATGCAGTGGTGCCATCTTGGCTCACTGCAACCTCTGCCTCCTGGGTTCAAGTGATTCTCCTGCCTTAACCACCTCCCTCCATTACAGGCATCCACCACTATGCCCAGCTAATTTTTTGTATTTTTAGTAGAGACAGGGCTTCACCATGTTGGCCAGGCTGGTCTCAAACTCCTGAGCTTGTGATTCACCTGCCTCAGCCTCCCAAAGTGTTGGGATTACAGGGGTGAGCTGCCATGCCCGGCCTACATCATCATTTTGAATGGGTGTCTACTATTCAATTGCATCAGTGTACCTTAATTTATTTAATTTCTTATTTTTAATTTTCTTTTGCTATTACAAATGACATTTTGGTGATTATTATGACATATACATTTGTCTACTTCTCTGATAATTATTTCTTTACAATAAAGTCCTAGAAGTAAAATTCATTGGTCAAAAGGTAGCCACATTTTAACACATTAAATATTACCATATTGCCCTCCAGATAGATTTCATAACTTTATAATCCCATCAAAAATATATGACAGTTTCTTTCCCCCCATATGCTTGTCAGAACTGATATTAACAATTTTTAATCTATTGAAATTTAATTGATGAAAAATAGTATCTCATTATTTAATTTACCTTTTTGAATCATTTTTATGTGCTTATTTTCCTTCCCCTTACCATCTCTTTATTGCCTGTTTATACTTACTTTGTGAACCATCTATTCACATTCTTTGGCCTTTTTTTTCTTATTTCTTTTTTTTTTGAGACAGAGCTTCGCTCTTGTTACCCAGGCTGGAGTGCAATGGCGAGATCTCGGCTCACCGCAACCTCCGCGTCCTGGGTTCAGGCAATTCTCCTGCCTCAGCCTCCTGAGTAGCTGGGATTACAGGCACGCGCCACCATGCCCAGCTAATTTTTTGCAGTTTTAGTAGAGACAGGGTTTCACCATGTTGACCAGGATGGTCTCGATCTCTTGACCTCGTGATCCACCCGCCTCGGCCTCCCAAAGTGCTGGGATTACAGGCATGAGCCACCGCGCCCGGCCCTTTTTTTCTTATTTCTAAATGTTCTTTATACAGTAAACATACCAGCTCTTCCTTTTCTGGTGCATAAGTTAAAATTATTTTCCCATTTTGTCTTTTGGTTTTTAATTTTTTAAATATTATTTTGTGTAGAAGTTTTTAATTCATGTAATCAAATCAGATCAATCATGATTTATCGATCATTTTCCTTTATAACTTAAGGATTTGTGACATATTCAACAGTCTTTATACAATTATAAAAATATCTTCCTATTCATTCTTCTTATCTCTAGCTAGTTAATTTTTGCTGTTTTCTCTAGTATTGGATGCAGCTTTTGTTTATGGGTTTGTTTTTAAGCATCCCTTCACAGGGGTTCCTCTGTGGCCTTCAGAGTACTCCTCACCTTATGCCTGTCTTGCTAGACCCAATTCCAAACTCTTAGCCACTTGACTTACGTACCAAACATCTGACTCCAGTTCTCAACTGTTGCCTTACCCCTATCCATCGAAAGAGGTTGGGAAGGGGAAGGAAATTCAGTGATTTGCCTTAAATCGTCTTCCCACAGCTCTGCTAATGACCTTGGCATTATTGGCAAAATTATAGCTTCTAGGGAGAAAATTCCTCCTGGGGTTTCTTTCCTCTCCCTCTTCTGTCTGCTACTGATTGACCATAGAACATTTTTCACTAAATCACTGGAATCTTTGTCCTCTTGTAAACAAACTTACCTATAGCCTCAATCCCTTCATTAAAATGCTCCCTGCTTTAATTCAAACATGACTTTCCCTGGGAGCATCCCTTTTTTTCCAATCTCTCTCATACTCTGCATATCATAAACTCTGAATAGGATAAGCTCAAAGGTGTTGCCCTCATTATCCTGTGCCATGTTTAAACCATTAGTTTTTCTCCCCTATACAATCTTTCTTCCTGTGATGCTTATGACTTCTGGCTATACTCATCTTTAACTCTTCTTGTTGACATCTAGGAATCTTCTGGCTTCTAAACCCCATTCACTGAGGACTTTGAAACTTCTCCCTCCCCTCCAAATCACTGAGTGGTATTGTTATCTTTATGGATGACCTATCACTATAAACTCTTTCAGATATCTGAAAGAATCCTTCAGATGTTCAGATGACCTCTTAGACTAAAAAAAAAAAAAAAAAAGATATATTGTAAACTTTCTTTTCACAATCTTTGATCACAAGCCTTATTCCTCCATATTCTTAGCACATGGCTCAGTAGTTGAGGTTTTTTTTTTTTTAAGTATTTCTGCTTTTTTATCACATGGAGATTTATGAACCCTTGGCTTTTGTTTTCCTCCAGTCTGTCAATTCCTTATGACTTTATTTTCTTTCCTAGCTTGCCTGTATGTACCCTGGAATTGTAAGTGTCCTTAATACCTTACTAGTTCTCCTTTCCTTCTCTTTAATTACTGAACAAATCTCAACCTTGAATTAACCAAACCATCGACCCTGCTCTGTTTCTAATCTGAGAGTGTTGAGCACTGTTTTGGAGATCACAAAACCATTACGGATTCAGAGACTTAACTGTCCTCTGGGCCCCCAGTGCTACTTGGCAAATTTTTCACCATTTTGCAATTGGCTTCATATTATATTCTCCACATCAGCTTTTCTAAAAGCTGATATCACCATTCTCAGGCCTTCTACCACACTCCCCTGGCTCCTCAGTATGTAGCAGTTGATATTGCCTTCTATTTTACTGAGAAAAATCCAAACTATCAGCTAACTATCCTTCACTGTGCATGTACCTCAACTTGCCTTTACCCCCTTTCCTTCAGTCTCAAAAAAGGTATAATCTTTTCTTTCAGTACTAACCTATATATTCTAGATTCCATTCCTTCCTTCCTACTTCTTCAGGAACCTCAGTCAATCTCTCTTTCTTAATATCTGAATATCCCCTTATATATATGATTTATGATTCTTTCCACTCAGCTTGTTTTTTTTTTCCCCCCCAGAGTCTCGCTCTGTCGCCCAGGCTGAAGTGCAGCGGCACCATCTCAGCTCATTGCAGCCTCCACCTCCCAGGTTCAGATGATTATCATGCCTCAGCCTCTTAAGTAGTTGGGATTACAGGCGTGGCCACCATACCCAGCTAATCGTATTTTTAGTAGAGAAGCAGTTTCACCATGTTGGCCAGGCTGGTCTCAAACTCCTGGCCTCAAGTGATCTGCCCACCTCAGCCTCCCAAAATTCTGGGATTACAGATGTGAGTCAGCATGCCTGGCCTCAGCTCAGCTCTTTACATTAGTACATCTATACAATGGAATATTATTCAGCAATAAAAAGAAGTGTGCTATCAAGCCACACACACACCACAGAGGAACTTTAAGCGCATATTGCTAAGTGAAAGAAACCCATTTGAAAAGGTTCCATACTGTGTGATTCTAAATATATGACATTTTGGAAAAAGCAAAACTATAAAGACAGTAAAAACAAAAAGATCAGTGGTTGCCAGGGGTTTGGAGAGACTGGGGAGAGGGATAAAGCAGTGGAGCATGGGAGATGTTTGGGGCAGTGAAACTATTCTGTATAATATTGCCATGGTGGATTCATGATATTATGTGCTTGTCAAAACCCATGAATCAACAACACAGAGTCAAAGATGATATAAACTATGGGTTAGTTAATAATAATGTAGCAATATATTGGTTCATCAGTTGTAACAAATGTACCACAATAATGCAAGATGTTAATAGGGAAAACTGTAGGGTGGAGCTGAGAGAGGGGTTAGGCAGGAACTGTCTGTACTTTGCTCAGTTTTTTTGTAAACCTAAAACTGTTGTTAAAAAAAGGAGTATTAGGCCAGGCATAGTGGTTCACACCTGTAATCCTAGCACTTTGGGAGGCCAAGATGGGCAGATCACTTGAGGCCAGGAGTTCAAGACCAGCCTGGCCAACATGGCAAAATCCTGTCTCTACGAAAAATACAAAACTTAGCTGGGTGTGATAGCCATGCTACTTGGGCGGCTGAGGCATGAGAGTCACCTGAACCCAGGAGGCTGAGGCTACAGCTGAGAGTGCACCACTGCACTCCAGCCTGAGCAACACAGTGAGACTCTGTCTCAAAAAATAAAGTATTAATTTTAAATAAAATAAATGGGCTTTTAAAAGCCACAGTTTGTTAACCAGAAGTAACCACTAACAATACATTTTTAATATTTTATTTTTATTTATATTTTTAAAAACACTTAGAACCTTACCTTGTTCTTACATTCCCCTCTAGCCATTATCTGTCTCCATCAGTCAGTCTAAAATATTGATTGAGTGTCTACCACATGTTAGACCCTGAGTAAGTACAAAAAGGCTCAGAGAAAACAAAACAGGTTTGATTCCTACCTTCAGAGTTGGCAGTTTAGAGGAGTCAGAGAAGTAAACAGGCAATTATAGCAGTCACTGATTCCTCACCTTTCATTCATTCTTTAGCCTGCTCTATGTATTCAGACTCTGTCCTATCATATCCACTGAAACTATCCTAGCCAACGTCATGAATGACTACCTTGTTATTAAATCCTGACCCAGCTTCTCTGTGGATTTTAACACTCTTAAACTCCTCCTTTTCTTAAAGCTTTCTTGTCCCTTGACTGCTGTTAAATAACAGCTTTCTTCTTGTTTTTCCTTCTTATCTGATTGCTTTTTCTCATATCATTGCATTGGGTGCTGATATTCCCTCAGGGCTCTATTATTTAACCTCTTCTCTATCTCTATAGTCATGTTATGTAATCTTATATATTTACATGGCTTTAACTACTACCTATGTACTGATAACCTCCAAATTCATAAATCCAAGGAAACTTGGATAACTCCCTCCCATCCATGGCCAAAGCTAAAGACATCCTATAAAAACTGTTATAGCTATACCACGAAAACTCAAGAGTTTCCTCAGTTGCTACCTTCTACCCTCCATTCTGAATCCACTTCCTCTCAGGTGTCATCCTCAGTTTCTATCCTTTAAAGGACTTGCTTTCCATAGTTGTTTAATTGGTTGTCTTGCTTTCAATTTCAGAGTTATCCATGAGTGCTGCCTCTTAGATTATGCCGTTCTGCAGCTCCCAGCCAGCCCTACCTCGGTCCTGACAGGTTCAGTGTTCTCAAATATTACTTATCTGAAAGAGGAGATCATAAACTAGCTCATATCTCTTTCCTGACCTTCAAAACTGTATGTACAACTGCCTGCTTTCATTGCTACCTTTATGTCTTCAGGATCTCCAATTCAGTCTGTCAAAAAATCTTCTCCTACTGGGTATTCTATCTCAGTGAATAGTCTCACTGTCTATCCAAGGGCCCAATTAGGAAATATAAAATTATTCCTAACTCTTCTTCTCTTTTACTCCTCATATCCATGTCTTATCAATTCTAGCTCTCTATATTTTCAAATCCATCCCCTTAATTTAATATTTATTGTCACTACTTCATCATTTATCTTGTGAATCACTGAGTGGTCTCCTAACTAGTCTCCCTGCTTCTCTTCTTGCTAGTTCCAACATATTCTTTGTGCAGCTACTAGAGGACTTTCTCCAACACGAATCTGTGTCACTTCCAGTGGAAAATCACTATGACACCTTATTTATTGGTAATAAGATGGTAATACAGGATCTGGCTCGTGCCTTCCTCTCTATCCTTGTCTCTCCTTACTCACCAGCCTCTAGTTTCAAAGAATGTGTCACAATAAGAGCCCAATTCTAGAAGAGCCTCGGGATATATATGCTAAATAATGGGTCTTCTTAAATTACTGAAGCCATGAACTTCCCAGAGCTCATAACTCTATGATTGGCCAAGTCTAGGGCTTGGCTCTGGACCTGACCATACTTCCTCGCTGCCCTGACATACTCTCTCTGGGTAAGATATAGAAAAGAGCCAAGATACCTCACTACAATCTTCCCTTTCCCCAACATAGCACCAAGCAACAAAATTGTGTCTGTACTTGACATAGAAGGACCCAACCCAAGTAATACCACGTATGCAGAGAACTGGAGAAAGATCCTTGAGAGTTCTGGTAGAAGCTGGAGAAATGTGTTCATGACATTGCACTCCAGGGTGGAGATAAGAAAGTCTTAGGGCCAGCCGGGCACAGTGACTCATACCTGTAATCCCAGTACTTTGGGGGCCAAGGTGGGTGGACCACTACTTGAGGCCAGGAATTCGAGACCAGCTTGGCCAACATTGTGAAACCCCGTCTCTACTAAAAATACAAAAATTAGCCAGGCATGCTACTGCATGCCTGTAATTCCAGCTACGTGGGAGGCTGAGGCACGAGAATTACTTGAACTCAGGAAGTGGAGGTTGTGGTGAGCCAAGATTGTGCCACTGCACTCCAGCCTGGGTGACTGAGACTCTTTCTCAACAACAACAACAAAAACTTCCTCCAAATTGATCTAAAAGTATCAAGCTGCTGCTGAAAATTTTGTTCTGTCTTATGTGTTCCAGAAAGAAAAGGTCGATTTCTCCTTCAACAAACTGGCTGACCCTAAGTTTTCATTTTATGACAAGACTTTGGTGGAAGCAGTGAAAAAGGGAGATCACTGGGTACACTTATTTTTTCGCTCACTCTCATTGTGTCATACTGTGATGTCAGAAGAAAAAGCAGAAGGTGAGGAGAGTCCTAAGGTGGCTTCATGGACGGATAATATGTCATGGAGTCTAGGCTGGAGGTGGGGTGATTTGATATGCTTTGCAATGGCTTAATCTAAGAAAGAACTTTCTACTAGGTAGCTTTGTCTGGCAATGGAATGGACAGTCAAGATAAGTGTGAGCTCCTTTGAATATCGGAGGTATTCAAGTAGAAAAACTCTTGGTTTAAAAGAAGTCATTCAGTGGGAGTCAAACTTGATGTTATCTGGGGAGCTTCGGATTATTTTTATTTCTTTTTTATTTTTTATGGTGCTCTACATTTTCAGAGAAACTTCTCTAGTAACTAACTATAGAATGATCCCTGAGGCTAAGAGCAGTGGCTCACGCTTATAATCCCAGCACGTTGGAAGGCCAAGGCAGGAAGATTGCTTGAAGCCAGGAGTTTGAGATTAGCCTGGGCAACAAAGTGAGACCCCCCCGTCCACCCTTGTCTCTACAAAAAATAATTTTAAAATAAATAAAAAATTAGCCAGGTATGGTGCTGCAGGCCTATAATCCCACTTACTTGGAAGGCTAAGGCAGGAGGATGGCTTGAGCCCAGGAGTTTGAGTTTGCAGTGAGCTATGCTCGTGTCATTACACACCAGCTTGGGTGGCAGAGAGAGACTCTGTCTCTAGGAAAAAAAAAAATTATTCTGAGGAAGGGAAGGTGGCAGGAAAAAGAAAAAAGAATGGTCCCTGAAAGCAGAGGCTTGGGACCTTCTGATCTTGAGACTCTGTGATGTTCTGCTCTCCAGATCAGCCCACAATCTCTGACAAGGCCTCATAAAAGATGAGTTGTTATCCTCTTGTTGCTCCCCAATTTGAAGACATCTCCACATCTTCTAGTTTCTTTAGTAACCAGATGTGGCTATGTTGTCCATTAATTTATCCAGATGTTTTTAGAAACAATGAATGAGAAAAGACTGACTGCAAATTAAGACTTGGCAGGGTGCAGTGGTTCATGCCAGTAGCACTTTGGGAGGCTGAGGCAGGTGGATTGTGTGAGTCCAGGAGTTCAAGACCATCCTGGGCAACATGATGAAACTCTGTCTAGTAAAAAAAATAAAATAAAAAAATATTAACCAAGCATGGTGGTGTGCACCTGTAGTCCCAGCTACTCAAGAGGCTGAGGTGGGAGGATCACCTGTGTCCTGGAAGCGGAGGTTGCAGTGAGCGAAGATCATGCCACTGTACTCCAGCCTGGATGACAGAGCAAGACCCTGTCTCAAAAAATTAATTAATTAAGAAGATTTTTTTCCTTAACAAATAAGAATTTGGACAACCAGGCCAGGCACGGTGGCCCATGCCTGTAATCCCAGCACTTTGGGAGGCCAAGGTGGGCAGATCACAAGGCCAGGAGTTCAAGACCAACCTGGCCAATATGGTGAAACACCGTCTCTACGAAAAATACAAAAATTAGCTGAGCCGAGTTCATGCCACTGCACTCCAGCCTAGGTGACAGCGAGATTCCATCTTAAAAAAAAAAAAAAAAAAAGAGAATTTAGACAATCAGATGAATCACATCCTTTAAAATCAATGTACTGTTAATACTACCAGTAGTGACACCTTATAGTTGTATATCACTTTACAGTTTTACAAATTGCTTTCATTTGTGTTATCTCCTACAGCCTTCACATCAGCCCTCTGAGGCTGGCAGAACAAGAAAGATGAAACTGATGCTAAGGGAGCTTAACTTATTGCTTAAAATCCTATAGCTAAGAAGAGCAGAGATTAAAAACCCAATCTCATGTCCTACCACATGCTTCTCTGGTCTCCTGCTTTTCCAACAAGCTGCTATTATTTGAAGCATATTTGGCCTTGGCCTTGTTTACTGCCTTGAGGGACAGAATAGGAAACATACAAGAAAATAGTCTTAATTGTTCAGTAGATGTATCTTTTATCTGACCTAAAATTATATTCCCCACCTACCTTATTCACAAGCATAAGACTCTAATGATGCATAACTGTTTTAAAAATCAAATCAACCGGCCGGGCGCGGTGGCTCAAGCCTGTAATCCCAGCACTTTGGGAGGCCGAGGCGGGTGGATCACGAGGTCAAGAGATCGAGACCATCCTGGTCAACATGGTGAAACCCCGTCTCTACTAAAACTACAAAACATTAGCCGGGCATGGTGGTGCGTGCCTGTAATCCCAGCTACTCAGGAGGCTGAGGCAGGAGAATTGCCTGAACCCAGGAGGCGGAGGTTGCGGTAAGCCAAGATCGCGCCATTGCACTCCAGACTGGGTAACATGAGTGAAACTCCGTCTCAAAAAAGTAAAAAAATAAAAAAAAAAAATCAAATCAACCTTCAGAAGAGAAATAATCTAAAATATACCTCAAGTTGTGACAATATTCTAACAGAGAAGTTCCAGAAATATCTTGAGTAATATCACATTGAAAGACTGATTCAATAAGGTGAGTCATTTAGCTTCCCAGGGTGACTTTTAAAGGTGACAACACTCATTTATATATATATATATATATAATATATATATATATATATATATTTTTTAATTGTTTACCAAATCATCAATCTTATTTTCTCATAGCAGTGTTTTTAAAAATGTGGTCAGTTTTATGCAGGACGACCTGCATGAGAATCACCCAGGAGATTCATTAAAAATTTATTTTCTTAGGGCCTCATCCCAGATTTTGTGATTATGGATTCAGTCAAGTTTGGGCGAGGCCCAGGAACCAGCATTTTTAACAAGTTTCCTGAGCCATCTTTATTCACTAAAGTCAAAGAATAACTGCTTGTTCAGTTTGTATACACTATATGTACCATATACCTCTGCAATGCCAACTTAAGTCTGTAAAGTAAGTTGAAAATGATGGAAATGAAGGCGAGGTGTGGTGGCGTATGCCCATAATCTCAGCACTTTGAGATGCTGAGACAGGAGGATCACTTAAGCCCAGAAAGTTCAATACCAGCCTGGGCAACGTAGGGAGACCCCGTCTTAAAAAATAACAATAATCCAGGTGTGGTGCACACCTGTGGTCACAGCTGCTTGGGAGAGTGAGGTGGGAGGATTGCTTGAGCCTGGAAGGATGAGTCTGCAGTGATCCGCAATCACGGCCTGGGTGACAGAGTGAGACCCTATCTCAGAAAAAAGAAAGAAAAGGAAGAGAAAAGAGACTGATATGTTCTGTGCAATCTGGCCTTTTAGAGCCACACTTGTGAGGTAGTTTTAAAGAAACATGCTGCTTTCTGGGCTCTATCTTTATGTAAACCACTTAGAAGGCAGGGTCACTTCTGGGTGGACTTCAACTACTCATCTCTGTGTGCTCTGGTTGCCCTCTTCTCTCCTGTCAGGCATGCTGGTGTACCAGGCTCAGTCACCAGATGAAGGTGCCCTGGTCACTGCTGCCAGGAACTTTGGCTTTGTGTTCCACTCCCGCACGTCTGAGACAGTCACAGTGGTCGAAATGGGGAAAACCAGAGTCTACCAACTGCTGTCTATTTTGGACTTCAACAATGTGCGCAAGAGGATGTCTGTTATTGGTGGGTGCCCTTCCTGGTTGGCCTTCTCCCCTTCTTTGTCCTTCCTACATATTCACACATTGCCTTTCTCTTTTATCTACACACAAATGCTTTCTCCCACTCACAGACCTTCTCATAGGTACATGATTCAAATACAAATCTGCAGCCATCCCTACTTTCTCACATATCCTTTAACTTTCTCCTACACACATATGGGGGCTTGCTACCATAGGCTAAGTCCACACTAAGTCCCTAATGTTCCTGAGCAGTGGCTTGTCAGCACCCTCAAAGCCAAGGTAAAGGTAAAGAATAAATTTATAAAGTCTGAACGTGGAATAAGAGATGGGAGCAGACAATATAGGAGAAATTCATCCTGTCTTGCTCTCTTAGTTAGTTTGAGCCTCAGACTAATGAGGAAGAAGGTCATTTTTCACCTTTGGCATTACTAGATAAGAGCCTTGGTCTGGGACTTGGAGATACTAAATGTGACTCTACATCAGACTCTTCCACAGGTAGTATTGAACCCATGGAAGAACTGGTTCTGTAAGTTCCTCTCTCACTTTTAGCAACCCTCATCTCATCATTTATCCTGTGTGACCACTCATTGAGTACTTAGCTTCCATTAAAGGTAGAAACAATGTTATGGGGAATAGCCTCCTATCATCCCTCATTGGCTCAGACAAGCTATAATAAGGAATTGATGTAGTTACTTTGCTTAATTTGCTTATCTTTAGTGCGGACACCTGAAGATCGGATAATGTTGATTTGCAAGGGTGCAGACACCATCATCTGTGAACTGCTTCATCCATCCTGTAGTTCCCTCAATGATGTGACCATGGAACATTTAAATGTAAGTGTTTAGGCTGCAGGGGGAGGAAGGTGCAGGTAGTTCTCTGTATCTGGATATGTGGCCACGTATGTGTCCCTGGGCCATAGTGTTTCTATATGGCTGTATAATGATGTCTGTGTCTCCCTTTAATTGGTGGAAGAATAAAATTATCTTATTTTGTGGGATTTTCACCAACCATATTGCCAACTTCCATATCAGAGAGTTGGATGTGACAGTACCCCAGAGGCATGATGAGGATTGTCATAGGATTATAACAACAATCAGAATAGTTCCCTGGTTCTTGGCTCAGGATTTTCCATGGTCAGACCTGGAGTTTGCTTTAAAATAGGACCTGTTGTTTCTTTCTCTTGCCTGATTGCCCTGGCCAGAACTTCCAATACCATGCTGAATAGGAGTGGTAAGAGAGGGGATCCTTGTCTTGTGCTGGTTTTCAAAGGGAATGCTTCCAGCTTTTGCCCATTTCGTATGATATTGGCTGTGGGTTTGTCATAAATAGCTGTTATTATTTTGAGATATGTTCCATCAATGACTAGTTTATTAAAAGTTTTTAGCATGAAGGGGTGTTGAATTTTATTGAAGGCCTTTTCTGCATCTATTGAGGTAATCATGTGGTTTTTGTCATTGGTTCTGTTTATGTGATGGATTATGTTTACTGATTTGCATACGTTGAACCAACCTTGCATCCAGGGCTGAAGCCAACTTGATCGTGGTGGATAAACTTTTTGATGTGCTGCTGGATTTGGTTTGCCAGTATTTTATTGAGGATTTTTGCATCAGTATTCAAATAGGAAGAGAGGAGGTCAAATTGTCTCTGCAGATGACATAATTGCATATTCAGAAAACCCCATTGTCTCAGCCCAAAATCTCCTTAAGCTGTTAAGCAACTTCAGCGAAGTCTCAGGATACAAAACCAATGTGCAAAAATCACAGGTATTCTTTTTTTTTTTTTTTTTTTTGGGGGGGGGGGGACGGAGTTTCGCTCTTGTTACCCAGGCTGGAGTGCAATGGCGCGATCTTGGCTCACCGCAACCTCCGCCTCCTGGGTTCAGGCAATTCTCCTGCCTCAGCCTCCTGAGTAGCTGGGATTACAGGCACACGCCACCATGCCCGGCTAATTTTTTGTATTTTTAGTAGAGACGGGGTTTCACCATGTTGACCAGGATGGTCTTGATCTCTTGACCTCGTGATCCACCCGCCTCGGCCTCCCAAAGTGCTGGGATTACAGGCTTGAGCCACTGCACCCGGCCAAATCACAGGTATTCTTATACACCAATAATAGACAAACAGAGAGCCAAATCATGAGTGAATTCCCATTCACAATTATTACAAAGAGAATAAAATACCTAGGAATACAACTTACAAGGGATGTGAAGGACCTCTTCAAAGAGGACTACAAACCACTGATCAAGGAAATAAGAGAGGACACAAACAAATGCAAAAACCTTCCATGCTCATGGATAGGAAGAATCAATATCGTGAAAATGGCCATACTGCCCAGAGTAATTATAGATCCAATGCTATCTCCATCAAGCTACCATTGACTTTCTTCATGGAATTAGAAAAAAACTACTTTAAATTTCATATGGAACCAAAAAAGAGCCTATATAGCCAAGATAATCCTAAGCAAAAAGAACAAAGCTGGAGGCTTCACACTACCTGACTTCAAACTATACTACAAGTCTACAGTAACCAAAACAGCATGGTACTGGTACCAAAACAGATATATAGACCAATGGAACAGAACAGAGGCCTCAGAAATAACACTACACATCTACAACCATCTGATCTTTGACAAACCTGACAAAAACAAGCAATGGGGAAAGGATCCCCTATTTAATAAATGGTGTTGGGAAAACTGGCTAGCCATATGCAGAAAGCTGAAACTGCACACCTCCCTTAAACCTTATACAAAAATTAACTCAAGATGGATTAAAGACTTAAATGTAAGACCTAAAACTATAAAAACCCTGGAAGAAAACCTAGGCAATACCATTCAGGACCTAGGCACGGACAAAGACTTCTTAATTACTAAAACACCAAAAGCAATGGCAACAAAAGCCAAAATTGACAAGTGGGATCTAATTAAACTAAAGAGCTTCTGCACAGCAAAAGAAACTATCAGCAGAGTGAACAGGCAACCCATGGAATGGAAGAAAATTTTTCAATCTATCCATCTGACAAAGGGCTAACATCCAGAATCTACAAGGAACTTAAACAAATTTACAAGAAAAAAAAACATCAAAAAGTGGGCGAAGGATATGCACAGACATTTCTCAAAAGAAGACATTTATGTGGCCAAGAAACATACAAAAAAAGCTCATCATCACTGGTCATTAGAGAAATGCAAATCAAAACCTCACTGAGACACCATCTCATGCCAGTTAGAATGATGATCATTAAAAAGTCAGGAAACAACAGATGCTGGAGAGGATTTGGAGAAATGGGAATGCTTTTACACTGTTGGTGGGAGTATAAATTAGTTTAACCATTGTGGAAGACAGTGTGGCAATTTCTCAAGTATCTAGAGTCAGAAATACCATTTGACCCAGCAATCCTGTTACTGGGTATATACCCAAAGGATTACAGATCATTCTGCTATAAAGACACATGCACACGTATGTTTATTGCAGCACTATTCACAATAGCAAAGACTTGGAACCAACCCAAATGTCCAGTATAAATGATATAGTGGATAAAGAAAATGTGGCACATAGACACCATGGAATACTATGCACCCATAAAAAAGGATGAGTTTGGCTGGATGTGGTGGCTCACACCTGTAATCCCAGCACTTTGGGAGGCCAAGGCAGGTGGATCACGAGGTCAAAAGATCAAGACCATCCTGGCCAACATGGTGAAACCCCGTCTCCACTAAAAACTATAAAAATTAGCCGGGCATGGTGGCATGTGCCTTTAGTCCCAGCTACTCGGGAAGCTGAGGCAGGAGAATCGCTTGAACCCAAGAGGCAGAGGTTGCAGTGAACCGAGATCGTGCCACTGCACTCCAGCCTGGCGACAGAGCGAGACTCTGTCTCAAAAAAAAAAAAAAAAATGAGTTTATGTCCTTTACAGGGACAGGAATGAAGCTGGAAACCATCATTTTCAGCAAACTAACACAGGAACAGAAAACCAAACACCGCATGTTCTCATTCATAAGTGGGAGTTAAACAATGAGAACACATGGACACAGGGAGGGGAACATCACACACTGCGGTCTGTCAGGGACTTGGGGGGTAGGGGAGGGATAGCATTAGGAGAAATACCTAATGTAGATGATGGGTTGATGGGTGCAGCAAACCACCATGCCACGTGTATACCTCTGTAACAAACCTGGATGTTCTGCACATGTATCCCAGAACTTAATGTATATTTTAAAAAAGCAAAAGAAAGAATAGAACCTGTTCTTACAAGAGGCACTACCCCACCAGCCATGATAAGAATAGAGCAGAGCCGGGCGTGGTGGCTCAAGCCTGTAATCCCAGCACTGTGGGAGGCCGAGGCGGGTGGATCACGAGGTCAAGAGATCGAGACCATCCTGGTCAACATGGTGAAACCCCGTCTCTACTAAAAATACAAAAAATTAGCTGGGCATGGTGGCGCGTGCCTGTAATCCCAGCTACTCAGGAGGCTGAGGCAGGAGAATTGCCTGAACCCAGGAGACAGAGGTTGCAGTGAGCCGAGATCGCGCCATTGCACTCCAGCCTGGGTAACAAGAGCAAAACTCCATCTCAAAAAAAAAAAAAAAAAGAATAGAGCAGAAAACACCAGGCCTGAGCTGTTTGATACTCCTCTCTATGTCCATAGGATTGGAATCTCCAAAGGCACCTTCCCTTCCTTACCCTACCCTACCTTATGTCTACACTCTAGGATTTGAGATGTATCAAAAAGAGTAGCTCCAGCCATCTGGCATAAGAAAGGAAAACCAGATCCATACTCTCTGGGGTTTCCACCCCTAAATTTGTATATTCAAAGGGTTGGGGGAGTAGGGAGAGAAAAAGGGACAGAATGAGAATGAAGATAGATCACAAAAATGTTTGATAAATCTATTAGAGAATATGCTATTTTATTAAGCCACCTCAACTTGACTCTCCATTAACCCACAGCCAGAAACCAAAGAACAAATGGCCAATAAGTGCATGAAGAGCTGTTCAACATCAGTAGTCATCAGAGAAATGCAAATCAAACCCACAAAATCTACTTTACACCTACTAGGATGGCTAAAATAAAAAATTTGAAGAAAAAAAAAGATAACCAGACAATAATAAGCATTGACAAAGATGCAGAGAAATTGTAACCCCTCCATATTGCTGATGGGAAAGTAAAATAGCACAGCCATTTTGGAAAACAGTCTGGCATTTCCTTTAAAAGTTAAGCATAAAGTGATCATAAAACCTAGAATTCCACTCCAAGGTATATTTCCTAGAGAAATAAAAATATACACCCATACAAAAATGTGTACACATGTGGAGGGGAAGAAGCAAGATGGCTAAATAGAAGCCTTCACTGATCATCTTCCCCACAGGAACACTATATTTGACAACTATCTACATTAAAAAGCACCTTCAAAGAAGCAAAAACAGGTGAGCAATCAGAGTGATGTTAACTTCGTATCGCTGGAAGGTACACTGAAGAGGGTAGGAAAGATGGTCTTGAATCACTGGCATTAGCCTTTCTCCATCCCCCAGCAGTGGCCACATTGTGCAGAGTATCTGTGAATTTGGGGGGAGTAAGGGTGCAGCAATTATGGGAACTCAGTGCTACCAATACCAGTCAAAACACAACCAGTGCCCACAGAGGGAGCATTTAGACCAGCCCTAGCCAGGGGGAATCGCCTATCCCAACAGTCAGAACTTGAGTTTCTGCAAGCTTCAACCATCACAGGCTAAAGTGCTCTGGGGTCCTAAATAAACTTGACAGGCTGGCAAGGCCACAAGGACTGCAACTCCTAGGCAAGTCCTGGTGCTGTACTGGGTTCAGATCCAGTGGACTTGGAGGGGCAT